TCACGCACCATTGAACAAGATTGTTGCTGGACGTTGATCCTCATAGGCTATACAGTGGATCTGATTGCGAATTCAGTAACTTCTGGTGTGGTGTCAATTATAGACAATTTGGGGCCACATCTTCTTTCCACTGAATTCGTTATGTACACCAATATAGGGAACGTTCACGCTATTCTGTCGCCAAATTGCGTGGATGCCAAGAATAGGTTTTATATTTGTGATCAGGGCCACTGATTACCACTAAAAACGAATTTTCGGTCGAAACAATTGTTTTAGACCTTTCTGGGTTTGCTTATTGGGTTGTCCGGGGTCCGTAGCGTCAACGATACGCATCGCTGTTACGAAGATGTGAGACTCCGCTCACACTGCCGACCAAATGGTCACCTACAACCCGAAAAAGTCAAAAAAATTTTTTTGTGCTCCTAGGGGTAATCGACAGTCCTGATCACGATTCTAGACTTTATTTTCGGTTCCAGTGCCATCTGGCACCGGCATAGCGCCGAAGAGCTGAGTCTGTGCATACTAACGAATTCGAACGAAAAAGCAGTTTTACTCCATAAAAGTGGGATTGTTCAGTTTATCGTGAATGTTTTTGTTGGGACCAATCATTTAGATAAACATGGATCCAAAAAATGAAAAACTGTAGAAAAGCAAAATTTTGTCCTCGGTGGGATCCGAACCATCGACCTATTTTTTACGTTTTTTTTATTCGTAGAAGCGCGCAGCGAAAATGAACCTCAGTTTTTGGTCCTCGTATGTGCCCCTACAATATGCACAAGACCATTTTGAAAAAGCTCACCACGCCCTGAACGTAAGAATTGTGTCCTTTCCACTGCACTTACAATTAGCTGCACCCCCCCCCCCTCTCACTGAGGGCGGAGAATAGTATAGGTTACGTATGCTCTGTGCATTGTGACCTGTTTCCCATCCATACCAGCCTTGACCCGCTCCGTAAAGCGGTTTTTCCACGCAATTCCCATTTTCTCAGTAACCAGACAAATACACACACAGACAGCTTCTGCGGAGAGATAAGCTTTTGCGTGCAGATGTGTGGGAATCTCGCATTAAAATCTTCCAGTCATCTCGCATCAAATCAAGTTCAAACCTAAAATTTACCTCAAACTCAAAATCTTAAAACAGCACTGCCGCGACGGATCACCATCTAGGACGGTCCCAGCCGTCATATTGCTTCCAAACCGTCTGTATTCCTTTACCCCGTTTACCCTTGGAGTACAGAGACCGCTCAGTTTCACCAATGTACTCATCCCCATAACGCGTGGAGATCACATATGATGACAAGCGGTCCCCTCTTACCCAGAAGGAAAGGCAAGATAGGGTGAGATAGTAGCGGTCGTATCCTCAGTTGCGAGTGAAGTGCTGCTTCAGGAATATGTTATAATTCTACTCCCAACAGTATGATGTATCACCTCTCCACCGTATTCAAAACGGAACCATTATATCCTCCAACAGCGTATAGACATCCGCAAATGACAGAAACTGAAAAGCGGTATCGACATGTGTTCATGGGCGCTACGCGTATCCACTGGTTCCGTCGAGGATCATAACTGCAACAACGTAATTATTAACTTAACCAAAGGCTTGCCAGGCTATCTCTTACCGTTCGACAACGCTCAATCGGTTCGTACCGTCCCAACCGCCGGCTGCATAGAGGAAAGCCGTCAAGTGCACTAACACCAAAAAGATTACGACATGGTAGGCATTGGCGCAACGTCACCCGACCATTCGTTTGTAACAGGATCGAATCTGAATCTCCTTCCTTTATCATCTCCAATGATTCTCTGGTTATATCTGCTCAACAGAAGAAACGCGTGAAGACAACTGTTCGTGTTGTTCGAAGGCACGGATAGAAGGCCAAACATCCTACTAAACACAAACGATTGTGTGTGTGTGTGTGTGTGTGTGTGTGTGTGTGTGTGTGTGTGTGTGTGTGTGTGTGTGTGTGTGTGTGTGTGTGTGTGTGTGTGTGTGTGTGTGTGTGTGTGTGTGTGTGTGTGTGTGTGTGTGTGTGTGTGTGTGTGTGTGTGTGTGTGTGTGTGTGTGTGTGTGTGTGTGTGTGTGTGTGTGTGTGTGTGTGTGTGTGTGTGTGTGTGTGTGTGTGTGTGTGTGTGTGTGTGTGTTCCCACAGTAGCAAAAGACCACCCATCATGCTAGGTGCGATCGTGCCTGAGGCTCGTGTACATGTGTGTGTGTGTGTGTGTGTGTGTGTGTGTGTGTGTGTGTGTGTGTGTGTGTGTGTGTGTGTGTGTGTGTGTGTGTGTGTGTGTGTGTGTGTGTGTGTGTGTGTGTGTGTGGGTGTGTGTGTGGTGTGTGTGTGTGTGTGGTGTGTTGCCCGCGATATTTCGGCATCACCTGGAATAACCAGTATGGGGATACGGGTCATGGAAGAGATAGCGGCATGATCCGCAGATGTAAGGAACTGCGAATGATCCTGAGGCTAGCGCGCCCGCCCGACTATTGGCGCCGGGTGGCCTCAGCCAGGAGGAGTTCTTTCGTGGCGAAAGTTCGCAATAGACTGGAGAGAAGAAAAATGTGGACAAACGCTAGGCAAACAGTTGCCGAACAAAGTGAGGAAGACACGCCCATATTGGGCGGGGGCACGCTATAGGTGTGCGGTGCTTGCTCCAAAAATTACAAAAATTCAGTTCGGTCCCACAAGAGCCCTGATAGTGGAGAATGCTGGAAAGAGTAATTGGGCGGACAAGATGATGAATCTAACTTGCTGTGAAGAGGGCTCCAATCGAAATTCGGTGATTTAGTTCCAATTAAGCCCGGAGAGCGGAAAAAAGGGGTAGCGAGAGCAGATGGGTCGGCAGACGGGAAGCATATGTTGCAGCGAATTAGGCCAATCAGAGTACTACCTTGTTACGAATGGATAAATTTCGGGCCAGGTACTTCTTTCTATCAAAAGTGATCCGCCGAGTATAAAAGAAAATTTTTAATTATCAATTGAAAATCTTCCAGGCGTCGGCCATAGTAACGGGTTATTTTCTCACTCGAAATATCGCGCTGAAGCTAAAGGCTTGTCATTGAGTTATACACAGTTTTGCAGAGAGTTCCTTTTCCTATACGATAGTCTTTTCAGTTTTTTTTTTAAATTTCCCTTTTCACTAATATTCAAGCGCTCAAAAAGGAGGATCAGGTTGACGGAATCGATCATTTTCGACAGCCTCTCTTTTTTCACCTCTAAATAAAAAGCTAAAGCCGTACAGACCCAATTGCGAAGTTTATGGCCAAGAGGCTATCTCTCTCAGGAATGCTTGCAACGGTTTAAATTATTCAAAGATTGCCATTTAAACGTCAAAGACAAGCATCGAACCTAATGCCCTATTGAGTCCAACTGAGAGCTTCTACTGAATTATTCACAGAGGTTCATGCCCGAGATTGAGGAATCGTAGAGGTCAAGGAATGCTTCCTAATCACAATCAGGCGTCACCTTCTGGAATGGAGAAGTTCAAAACTTAGTGGATGGGTTCCGCAGGCAGTCGCTTTCCTAGAGAGCCAAGCAAGTACACTCCTTATCCCTGAGCTAGAGTAGGCGTGGCATTTGAACACGGCACGAAACTGGTCACTCGTGGATAGTTCCAGTCTGGGACAACTGTCATTTTTGATCTGTGTGGTTGGACAGAACACGACAATCCTCTCTCGGTGTGTGTGTGTGTGTGTGTGTGTGTCCCCGGATCTGTGGAGCTGGATATGTGGAGCTCGGAGAGTGGAAAATGTGACAAATGTTAGGCAAACCGTTGCCGAACGAAGTGAGGAAGACAAGCCCATATTGGGCGGGGGTAAGCTATAAGTATGCGGTGCTTGCTCCGAAAAGTTCAAAAATTCGGTCCCACAAGAGCCCGGATAGTGGAGAATGCTGGAAAAATGAATGGGCGGACAGGATTATGAATCTGATCTGCTGTGAACAGGGCTCCAATCAAAATTACCGAATCAAGCCCGGAGAGCGGGAAAACTGGGTAGCGAGAGCAAATGGGCCGGCGGAAGGGATGCATGTGTTGCAGTGGACTGGGCCAATCAGAGTACTACCTTCTCTACGGATGGATGAATGGGTACTTTTCTATTGGGTCATCCCGTAAGTAATGGCGTTTTTTTTCTCATTCAAAATATCGCGCTGAAGATGAAAATTTCCGCCACTGAGTCATATACAGTTTTGAAGAGAATTCTTCCTTGCCCTATAAGGTAGTCTCCATTGTATTCTTAAAGTTTGTCGCAAAAGTGCAAAAGCTTTTGTCGAAAACTCACAACTCACTCAAACTCTTCTGATCGACCCGAGTTTCATTTCAATGAAATATACGACAATCGACAGGAATCAAGAAGAAAAATATAGGATGACTCTCAAACCAACTTATGGAGCGGAAAATTATCTATTAAACAGTGAAGGACACATTGGGAACAGTTGTCATTTTCCATATAGAAATTTGTAAGGAAAAAAACGCCATTACTCATAGGCCATAATATGCACTTGCACCTCGGCTTCGTTCTGATAGTATGAAATGTTTTGCGTGCCGCTGAGCAACTGGAAGCAGCCGAACAGCAGAAGAATACTGCTCTATGGCTTCAATTTCCGAACACACCAATGTGTTCTCGACAATCTGCAAGACGGGTTGTATATAGAAACGTTGGACAGCTGACTACTAGGGGGGGGGGGAATTTGTTGCTCAGTGGTCCACTGGCCCTCTTCGTACGACGAAGGGCCGATCTTTAGCAAAAATAACACCACCAATTACATTGGGTCTCTTAAACGCTTGAGAATATATATAAAAATTGGTCGTCATCGTCTATCGTTGCATTCAAGAACTGAATCGCATCCATAGCAGGTCATTTAGGTGAAATTGATTGCGTATGGATTAAATGAGATAAATCACTTCAACTATAACAAAGGGAACTTCATATTTCGGTACCATCTGCAAAAAATGTAACTGACCGAGTCTCCATCGTAATGGAGGAGAAACTTGAACATAATTCTACTAATGTAGTTATGAGTTGGAGAATGCGTTATACCTTTCAACGCTACTCGAATGTTTGCCATCCCAACCACCAATAGCGTAGAGCAAGTTGTCGACAACACCAACACCGACTCCTGCCCTATAAAAGGGTGCCGTTGAAGAGCATTATTATCATCCCATGTTGTACCTTCGCTTCGTCATAGAGGGGACGCTCTGCCATACAGGATACGTTCCTTCAGGATCAAAGCATTCCACGGTAGCGAGGCCGACGTCGCTGCGCTTCTCCTCCCACTAAAAGTTATTTGGTCGGCAGAAATGCTCCCATGGATCCATTCTCTACGCAACAATTAATCGTTTTGTATATCATCTTCCTACCACTTGGATGAAGCTGGCAGTCGCATGCATCACACGATATTCCCTATGATTGGAAGCACATTGCGAGACACTTACGGTTACTGCTGCAGCCTCAATTTTAGTTTATTCTCTGAATTGGATTTTCCATTGCTTCATGGATTCTCTGTCCCTGAAGCATGGTGTTCCTACATACATACACCTAGCGAACGCGACGAGGCACCTCATAAGATACGCACTAACGTTGTTGATCAAGACTGTAGTATACATTACGAAGTTATTTATGGCGGCTGATCGCATCTCTGAGAAAACCTCCACTCACCTGAAACTCACTTGGCTTACCGTCCTGAAGGGGCTGTCACCATTGTTGGAGAAATGGGAATAAGGTGTACTACAATTATTAAGAGCTGATGAACATCGATGGTACTAGCTTCGTCAATGGTGCGACAGAGTTTTGCAAACTTACGGTATCGTAATCGATCACCGTTACCGTTAAGTTTTTGCAACCATCCGTCGATGTTTCAGCCCACTTCTTATAACACCCGCTGAAAGCAAGCGCTACTTCGTTGGTCGACGATATGACTCGGAAAAAAGCAAGATTGCACGAAAAGCGGGCATAGCGATTTAGGGTAGGGTGGCAGGATTACAGAGAAGGCCTCCCTGCAGGAATACTTAACCGCTTCGCGAAAGATCGCAGCGAAATAGTGGCACCTATGATGTCATCCCATTCAAAAGTGCCGTAGAGGAATAGCAGAAAAGCAAAGGGGATAGGGCAGCGGGCTACTATACCATTTGGAGGCTAGTACCTTTAGCTGTGTATCTGTGAAATTTGGCGAACCTACCCACAGAAGAAGTTCTCTGAAAAGAAGCCCGAGTGGTGAAAATCAGCGCCCGATTTTCAAATCAGACGTCATAAGAGGGAAGTGCGCTGCTCAAATTCGACCGGCGCCGGACCATTAGTTGTCTTGGCATTCTCGAGATACATGGTGGAAGGTTTGGTTCAGGAGGCCGATGGGTCCCATAATTTTCATTCTAGGCAAGAAAAAAGGGTGGATGAAGTCAAGCGCTGAATGTCTGATCACAGAGCCTGGACCTTTGTCGAGCTTCCCCGCGAGTCTGACATCCCAGCTGCAACTGCTGCCCGAGTTATGTCCGATAAACTGAGGATGGTCAAGAGGGTGTGCGCATGGGTACCTAATTTTCTTGTAGAAGCACGAACGCAGTACCTATTCTCTGTACCTCTAGCAGTAATGTTCTCAGCATGAGATGTCATTCACGACTGTGAAAACGCACCCCGGCCCTAGATGAAATATGGGTGGTCTTGGACCTCGAGCCAAAACTCACAATCGTCAATTTTGTATGAATGCAGATGAGAAGCCGCCCGAGTTCTACCATGAAGAGTTACGTGGGCGCAAGTGGATGATCATCATAGCGAAGGATTCCCACACTGTGGCTTTCAGGCGGCTCTATACAGAGAATAGATCGCTGTCGGTGTATATTGCCTGTTCCTCGGCAATCAGATCGACAAATGGATGATACCACACAACTACAACAAGGAGACGTTGCTCGTCATAGTGCCAGACCCCGAGTAACTGTATTGTAGGGCAGTGCTGGGACAAAACAATACTGAGACCTGGGTTCAATCGCCCCATTCGCCCGACATAAAGCCGAGCGATTCCAATTGTTCTCGTCAGTCGAGAGTACTCTCCGACGGCAAACGCTACAATGTTTTGTCATTCGCCGAAATTGGCATCAACAGCAATTTACGGAAGTGCGCTGCTCAAATTTTTACCTGCCCCGGACCATTAGTTGTGTGCAATTGTGTCTCGAGATACAACGTGGAAGGTAGGGTTCAGGAGCCCGAAGAAGGAAGAAAGGAAGAAGTTTGTTGTCTCGATGGTCCCATAATTTTCATATTGCAAGAAAAAAAGGGTGGATGAAGTCAAAGAAATCTTGGAATCATTTGAGCAAAACCTGATTCA